ACATTTGACAATTTATAAGATGTGACCAGTAGTCTGGGAAGCAGATCAGAGCTTTCATCAGCATCATGGAACTTGAAATAAGGAGAAAAACAAAAGAAAAATAGTGTTTACTTCAGAGAATCAAACAACAGTAATGATGGTTCCCATTTGCTTCCATGAGACAGTTTCCGGGCATGGCCCAAGGAGGGGGAACAAGGCAGAATCTGGTGGCCCTGAGTTGAAGGCTCAGAGCTAAGAGTCCAAGGAGACCAACGTGGCTAGGGTTTGCAGACTTGAACACCAAAGAGGAAAGAACTGTGGAAAGAGAAGCCAAGACTTCTGGAGGGGCTCTTCAGTGTAGACAGACAGCAGTGGGGAATATTTAGCCCTGGATCAGACACCACTCTAATTCTGCCAAACATATCCTAAAAGCAAGATCCAAAAGTATCTTAACTGAAGTCCAGACAAAGCTCAAGAAGATAGGAATAAAAATACATTCAGCACCAAGAGGGTTAAGTTTACAATGTTTGACATCCTGTGAAAGATTACAGGGCATGCAAAGAGGCATGAATATCTGACCCATAATGAGACCAGTCAATCAAAACTGACACAGATGTTGGAATTAGCGGACAATGACACTAAAAGTTGTTATAGCTGTATCAATACATTCAAAAAGTTAAGTAGAGATTTGGAAAATATAACAAAGCTCCGTATATGTAACTACATGTCCTCAGTTGGAGTGCCGGAAAGAAAATGCAAACAACAAAAAGACTTCCAAATTGATGAAAAGCAGAAATCCAAAAATTCAAGGAGTTCAATGAACTCAAGCACAAGAAACAAAACTATACCAAATTGCTCAGATTGGTCAAAACCAATGATAAGTCTAAAAATAACATTATATACAAAGAAACAAACATAAGGATCATAAAAAGCTTCTTGATGCAGGTGAAAAGACACTAGGGCAACGACTTTAAAATACTGAAAGAAAAAACCTAGAGGTCTTTATCCAGTGAAAATAACTCTTAAAAACAAAGGCAAAGATGTCTTCAGATGTTCAAAAGCAAAGATGTCATCACCAGCAGATTAGCAAGACATGAAATATTAAAGGAAGTGTTTCAGACCAAGGATGATGATACCAGATGGAAATCTGGGTGGATAGAAAAAAATAATGAATGCTGAAATGTTAACTGTATGAAACTAGACAAAACCAGGCACATTGGCCATCCATCAGAAGGCAAGATGGTGAAGAACAGAGAGCTTGAAATCATACAAACATGAGTTTAAATCTTGGCTTTGTTGATTAGTGGCTCTATTATTGTTATTTCAGATACTGTGGTATATTATTGTGAATACTTGCGAAAAGCACAAACTTCACTGCTAGTTCTTCAGTCCACAGAAATCACTGCACAAATAACAGACGTGCATCATGACTCACAACCAGTTATGTCACACCTTTCAGAGTCTGCCATGTTGGCCGTCATGCACCTGCTACTCAGTTTACACCCAGACAGCACTGCATGTAAAGTGTTGCCTCCTCATCCCCGCTGATGAACTCACATAACAGTTTACAAAAACACGTCGAAAGAGGGGATTGGTAATAAAGTTTGAAGTATATATAGCAAAGCAATGAAAATTGATAATGCTAGAAGTGAAATTTGAATCAAACGATGTGGTTATAGAAGAAAAATCTGAGTGCAGGAAAGATAACACTACACTGTTTGGGAGATTCTAGATAATGCAGCCAGAGGATTTTAGTGAACACAAACTTAGCAGTATATGTGAAAACAGTGGTGGTGACAAAAAGGATGAAGATGTCCCAAGGAAATGACACCAAAAAAACAAAAAAAATGTTCAACCTTAAAGAAACTCAAAGAAATTTCAGGACACTGAAAGCTCAAAGGATGAAATGTTGGCAGCTGACCCAGACTTTGAAAGGAGCATGACAATTCTTCAAGGTATAGAAAAGGTGCTCACTCTGTGTCTTACGTTATAACATGAGAAGAAAGTGGCAAGCACTGTTCAAACTACTCTTGAGAAGCGTGGTACAAAGAGAAAATTTTCAGTTTTTAATATTCTAAATTATATGTACTAAATATATACTAGTTCACAGCTTTTTTTTATTTCCCTGTACTTTTATAACCAACAGAGAGATTTTAATGTTTTAACAAAATTTTGTAAAGGTCAGAGCCCAATCCTAAGTCTCCCCATTGATAACTAAGACTATGCGATAATTTTTATGGCCCCAGACTACTGTGTGAAGCAGGGGCTGCCTGGATATCTACTCTCTAGTGGGTGAATGCACCTAATTTGCTGTAAACTGTAAAACAAGGGGACATCATTTCAATTTTTGTTACTAATCTTTAAGAAACCTACTTAAGATACAAAGATATTGACTTGTTTATGATTTGAAGCATTCAAGTCCTTTGTGTTTCTTTAAATAAGAAAAGGGGCCTATGAGGTGTTGGCTTTGACGTGTTCTCTTTAATTAAGAAGTAAAAGGTCTTTTAAACACTGAACTAGAAAGAAGGGATTTTAATTTTGTGTTAACACAAGGAGAGCTTATTAGAAGTGAAAAAATTTGTGAACAAGAGGGACCATATATTTACACAGTCCTGTTCTCTCAGAAGCTTTAAATATGAGAGAATATGAAAACATCCTACTTCAGACCTGCCTGGGATAGGGAATAGGAGAGCTGCAAGCCACGGGGTCTGTGCTTCCTGGTCACTGACTGAGGGACTACATGACTAGAAGTTCTTTTGAAACTATTTACTCACCAGAGCAATAATACAAGAGGGTGTCTGATGGTTGAGATCTCATTTATCCTGCTGCTTTTCACCTGAGTGTTATTTAGGCCCACTACATAGCAGAGGCCATTAAGCATCTGTGCATTTCCTGGCCACTTCAGCCAAAACAGTGAATTGTCAGATTATTGGTGATACTTCCTGTGTATGATGTCCTTAGGGTAGTGTACAGGGATGGAGGAGAATATGACAACCCAAGTGGTGGTCATCGGCTACCACTCTGCCTACATTTAAAGTAAGTGAGAGTCTCAAAAACTCACCTATTTTAAAACTGAAAAGATCCTTGCTGTGATTTTGTTCAGTACTGAAACTGCAAATTTAGCAAAAAATGTGAAGGCCAAAAGCTGCAAGGATAAACTCACCCTTAAGGAGTTCCTTACCAATATTGGTGTTGGTCTTGTGCAGGATATTTAGGCAGATTGCTATTGTTCCTGGAACCTGCTATTGGCAGAGTTACCAAGTCTTGTTAAACTGTATTTCAAGAAGTTATAATGGAGATGGCACTTATATGCTGGTAAGTGTCATATAGCTTTAAACCATCTTCTGGTTATCAGCACCTTTTATTTTTTCTATTGAGGTCAAATTCACATGACATAAAATTAACCATCTTAAAGAATGCAGTAACATTTTGTATGTTCACAGTGTTGTGTGCCAGTCACTTCCATCTACTTCAAAAATACTTTTATCATCCCAAAATAAAACCCTACACCTAATAAGCAGTCACCTGCATTCCTTTCTCCCCTCTAGCTTCTAACAACCACCAATCTGCCTTCTGTCTCTATGGATTTATCTGTTCTGAACATTTCATATAAATGGAGTCGTACAATATGGTGTTTTGTGAGTGGCTTCTTTCACTTAACATGATGGCCTCAAGGTGCATTCATAGTGTAGCATCTATCAGTATTTCATTCCCTCTCATGGCTGAATTGTGTTCTATTGTGTGTGGATACCACAATTTGTCCATCCATCAGTGGACACTTGGGTTGGTTCCACCTTTTGGCTACTCTGAATAATACTGCCATGAACTATTTGTACAAGTATTTGAATGTGTGTTTTCAGTTATTTGGGAGTATTGTTCTAAGAGTGACATTGCTGGGTCAGATGGTAGTTCTGTTAAACTTTTTGAGGAACCATTGGACTGTTTTCCAGTAGCAGCTTCGCAAGGAGGGACCACTTCTCACTACTGCTACTACCTCTGGCCCACTCCCTGCCCTTCTCCTGTCCACCCCAAGGAAGGTGCCCTGACTTAGGTGACTGAGAGTCTGTTCTCCTCGTGAGAATGCCATCTTCTTGCCCCTTCTCCACGCCAGTGCTGCTTAGCAGAGAGGCTTGTCCAGGTCCGTGCTGACGTGACGGGGTGGAGCAGTGCTGCTAATTCTGGTGTTCTGTTTGGAGGCCAAGGAGGCTTTTAGTCTCCATACTGGCCTCTAGCAGAACAAATGCTGATCTTTGTCTTTTAATTTGGTTTATTTTTCAAATAGTCAAGAACCTGCACAGAGTTCAGTGTGGTACTTATTGGGGGTTCCTTTGGCAATCCCACAAGTTAGGATTTAAAAGGCTATGATGCCAGAAGAATTTGAGTTTTGTAGATGTGTCCTGGACTTGGAGGTTTAAAATCTAAATGCAACTTACTTTTAGCAGTGTCAGCTGGATGACACCACCTAGTACTTTAGCTTCAGTTTCCTTAACAATGAAAATGGAAATCTTCTCCACCATTTTTACGTGACATATGCTGTGGATTTCACATAAGTATCAAAGCAAGAGCACAATAACAGAAGATCCAACACAAGAGTAAGATTGTGTCTAACTTACATTTCTATTTCAGATACTTTAACACAGCTTTTTTATAGTATAATAATATCTCTGTATTTCCAAAACCTGACCACAAAATTTCCACAAGGCTTGTTGCTACAGGAATATGGCACAGACAGAGAAGTTGGTAAGTCTCCAGTCTTCAGGTAGAAAATATGTAACCTTGCATGGTAAGCATACAGCACCTAACACCTGATGGCCAGACTGCCTGGATGGCCACTTCTCCATTGAGGTCATTTCAAACTCTGGAATTTAAGAAGTGATTTTTATTTTGAAGAAAAACGTCTTGAGACAATTCTGTATCTGCATTAAAGAAAGTTCTGTGAATTCATGTAGAATCATCACTAGATTGCCAGAACATATCTCCAGTAGGAAATTCTCTTATCTTTTCTGCTAATCTTGTCTTAGGTGACACGTCACCTTGCCAAACTCTTCGATAGCATTGCGGATCTGCAGTTCGAAGACAATGAGGACATTTCCAATCACAGAGCAATTGGAATGTACAGCAAAGAAAAGGAATATGTCCCATTCCAAACCAAGTGTGAATGTGTAGGCCATGTAAGTTTTGATTATGAGGTTTTCTATGCTAGAGGAGTATTTTCAGGGTTATTTGTAAAGGTTGAATTGAACAAGAAAAAATCAGCTCATGTCAAATCAGGCTCTGGTTAGTTTTGTTCTCAGAGATTCCTGTTTACTTACGTCCAGCGTGACAGAGGGCTAACTCTGCCATGCTTCCCAGGTTCTGTTCATTTGGCTTCAGCACCCTGCCCGGTCTCAGAGATGTTAGCAGTTGAACTAGACAGGTAGGGACTGTCACAGATTGAATGTGTTAACTGCAGAATGGGAAGCAAATGCAGCCCAATGACTGAGTCTCCTACAAAGAGTATTTTCACCACTGCTCGGGTACAGGGAGGGGTCAGGGTGAAGCACCTCATCAGAGCTCTCAAATCACACTGAGCCACTGTGCAGGAAAGCATACTTTAAAGAGGCCTGTGGTTGAGGATTCTGATGTGACTGTTGTAAATGGCTGCTCATAAATAAAGTTGATTGAGTCTACCAACCTGATGTCACATACTCTAATTACCATGTGCACAGACAGTTAAGTTAACATGTTCTCTTCTCTCACAGCCAAATACCTCACAAATATTCTTAACAGTTATCTGCCAGAATGGCTCATTATGATTTAAGGAACTCTTAAGTGTTTTCAGATGATTTACAGGAATTGCATCTTTTTATGACAATGCTTGAGTTAATCCCCAGAGGAACTGAGACAATAGCTTCTATTACAGAACAGTTTGGGCTGAAGCAGGGGCTTCCTTACAGAGAGAGTCCCTTGCAGAAATGCGATGGCATCCTTTTGTGACAGGGGTTTTCTTTATTCTTCTCTGTTACTTTTGAAAATTATACCAGAAAAATCCTGCCAAGTGAAGGGGAAACAGATGGTGGACTACTTTGATTAAAATATATATTTTTTATCTCTTGGGCTTTTTGGGATATTAATACAATGATTAGAAAAAGTCACCATAAACTATCTTGACAAGTGTGCTGCTGTCTGCTCCCTCCCCCGCAACTGACTGCTGGCCAGCTGGCATCCTGCCTGGAAGGAGGACAGTCCAGCTGACAGATGTGGTTGTCACCAGCAGGAACCCTCGATGTTGAAAGTTTTCTCTAGTTTATTCTGTAGAAGCAGCTCAGGCTGGAGACCTTGGGGCATACACCCCATTCACTGTCTCATTACCTGTCTTATTAAAAGATGCTTTTACTTTAGGCCTTTTTACCCCCTGCACTTTTATGATTGGTTCCTCCCAAGTTAGACTATTGGTGCTTTATTTGACTAGTGTTTAGTGAATTCCTACTCTGTACTAGATGCTGACTTAGGCTTTTGAGGAAATAAGACATGGCTCCTACCTATGAAGAGCTCTAGGCTCATTGAAGAAATGGATATACATGTAATCAGTGATAATGGGAAGTGGTAATTGTTGAAGGATTGAGCTCAGTGGAGGATTGAGCAGAGTTGAAATGCCAGAAAGAGAGGGATTGAGCAAGCACCTCATCAGAGCTAAGTTCTCCAGTCACACTGAATCAGGTTGCTGTTTTTGGCATAGTCATTGGAACATGAGCCTGAATATATCAACTTACATGTGTTTGTGCTTCCCTAATGGACTGGAAGTTCTTGAGAACAGGGCCATCCCCAGGATGTGGATCCCAAGGTTCCTGGGAGGTGCTTCACATGATGTCTGATTTACTGAGGGAACTTGTTGCTTGGTGACATTAAGAGTTGTGCTTAGTGACTGAAGCAATGATTAGATCTGAGACCCTGAATTCAGGCATGGGAACAAAACCCAGCTGTGAAGCAGAGAGAAAGCCTCCTAGGACACTAGGGCCATTGCCAGGAAGGTGCTTCAGTTTTCTTTCAGCTGGGAAGGCTGTTAACTCTTGAACCACATACCACTCCCAGTTCTCCAGAGAAGGAGGCTTTAGAAATGAATGCTTCTCCCATCTTCACAAAGGCAGGGAAAGAAATCAGTTACAGTCTCTTCAGCACCTCCTGTGGTCTTTGGAATTTAGTTATTATAGTTTAATTAATTATTAGAAAACACTACATGTATCCTTTCTGTTATATAATAACCCATGGAAACATATATGGATAAATATAACAGTGTATTTGAATAGAATGGAAAACTGGCTGAAGTATATTTGTGGGAGCAAAATGAACTTGAATTCTTTTCAAAAAAGATTAATTTCTACAAGTCAGCAGTTGTCCTATCTCTGATACTCTCCTGCTGTCTAATTTTTGACAAGTGTGAAGATGAGAATCAGTAGGGAATATAACTAAGATACTTGCTGAAAACATTTTGTCTTAAGACAAGAACTAAAAAGATTTATGAGAAAATGTTTTCAGTAGATTTTTAAATTATCAACATATGTTTAAAAAACCAATTTCCCATTATCCCCAAATCTCTAGAATAGTATTCTGGCATATTACTCTACAGATGGTTGTGATGTTTGGTTTCTTAGAACACTGCATTACCAGAAGGAATCTTGTTCTAGCACTCCCTTGTCTTCAAATCTAAAAAGTGAGTAACCGAGAGCACCCCTCTGTTTAGGGTGTAGAAAGTTATTAGCCAGCTGGTAGGGGAAATAAGATGGGCAGCATTCCAGGAGAAGCTTTTCTTTTCATGTGGAAAAAACTTCATCAATCAGTTGCTCACCTTTCCCTATGAGTTAGCCCTCTTCCAATTTTCTATATAGGCTTAAAATAAATCCACCTGAAGTCATGGCCTGTGAGCCCATGAGAGGATGGAATTATCCCTTTTCCATTGTTAAGCCCATGTGAAAACACTTCAATTTGTTTCAAAAGGTGGAAACGTGGCTTCTGCAACTTGAACAGACTATGCAAGAAACAGTGCGACACTCTATCACAGAAGCCATCGTGGCCTACGAGGAAAAACCTAGGGAACTGTGGATTTTTGATTTCCCGGCTCAAGTTGCGCTAACCAGCTCTCAAATCTGGTGGACTACAGATGTAGGAATAGCCTTCAGGAGACTGGAGGAAGGCTACGAAACGGCCCTAAAGGATTTCTATAAAAAACAGGTATTTGATTCATGATTTTGAGACTAAAACATGAAGAGGTAAGCCTCGTCCATCCATTTATTCATTATTTACATGGGTTCCTTCTGGTGCACGGAGGCACAATGCTAGGAAGATTTTTGCCATCAGTTGTTTAACTTTTCATTCCTAGCTCTGTACATGGGTTTAGCAAACATTCATCATGTCCATTATCCCCCAAAGCTCTAGTGTATCACACATACCTAGATACTGTGCCTTTTTCTTTTCTTTTGTGTTAGACTCTCCATCTAGGCTGATTGTGTGTCTATTACAAAATATGTACCTGATTTGCAGGACTCCAAAAGGTGGAGGGCCTTTCAACAAAGACAAGTGTTTTCATATATTTTGGTTTTCTGTTAATGATAAATCACAGATGAGCCACTTTGGAAAATAGTCTCTTTTGACTTCCATTTTATTCTCCCTGGTTATGCTATGATCTCTCTCCTTAAGCCTCGCATCCTAAGGTGTGCTCTTAGATGTGGAGCAGTTCAGAGAGCTGGCCTTTCTCTGGGCTTACAGATAAGTGAATATTAGACTTGGAAAGGTGTTTATTAGTTTGTCTACCTTTCTTGTCCTCAGTGGATAAAGTCAGAATTCAGGGATGTTAAATGACTCTCCGAATGTTGCACAATTTGAGGTGAAAATGGCATGCTTAGCAGAATTTGGAATGCTTTCTGCTACTTTCCATTTCTTCTCCTCTTAGTGCTTTTAATAACTCGGTGACTTAAAAATCAAATAAATTCAGATAGCGAAGAATACTTGTATTGTTAACACATTCAATAGTGTTTTAGAGTGTGTTGATTATCCCTTTTAATTTTGCTCATTTGATCTTGGGTAGAGACTACCTAACTTGTTTATGTTGCTAAAGAAGTTTTTGTATAACTCACTTTTGGAGAAAAATAGATTCTTGTCAATTTTACATTCATAGGGAAATGGGGCATTGGTTTCAGCTCAGTAAGCTTGAAGTTATAGGATTAGATTTTAAGAAATGACTGGTTTTCTCTGAGGGTAATATCTCTTGCAGTTCTAGTCAGTGCCATTTAAATGAGAAAGCTAAGTAGTTCCTCCTAATTTTTTTTTCATGAACATAAATAATTGAGATAATTAAACTGTAATTCTATTATGGTTTTCTTATCAAAATAACTGATTAATTTACTGATATCTTTACTTTCATTAAGACTATTTTCATGATATATTTAAGGATATTTTTAAATACTTAAACTAATATCCTCTCTTAAATTTCAGCTATTATCAATCACTGCTCAAATGTAGATCTTTCAACATTTTCCTACTTTATTCTGTCTTTTTTCTCTCTCCATTTATTCTCTCCTGCTTTCAATTTATAATTTTTTGGTGATTATTAGAATATTTAATTGCTTAAAATAGTAAATGATATTTTATGGATATTTTTTATTTATATCAACTTTATTATTTTAAATTCCATGGTTTTTTATTAATTTTTATTGCTAAAGATGAAGAAGAAAATACAGATAGAGAATGGAAAAAAATTTTTTTAAACAGCCATAGGTAGCTTTCCACAGATAATCATTGATGACATTTTGGCATGCAAACATCAAAAGGTTCCCTCCATCTACTACCATCTAGCTATCTTTCTATGTGAATGTGTAGACATTTCTCTCTCTATATATATTTGTGTGTGTGTATGTGTGCATGTGCACATATATGTGTCAGTGTTTACTATTGACATATACATGTATTTATGTTGCTTTATATCAATGTACCTAGAGGTAAATAGAAGAAAATCAGTTTTTTTATATTCCATACCTTCTGTTACTTTATTTTTCAGTCAATATAATATCTACATTTCCCTTGTCATTAGTATATATCAAATTCACACAAAAAATGACCAAATAGATTTCCTATATATGGATATGCCAGAATTTAATTCCTCCCTTCTACCTTGTTTAGGTTTACTCTGATAGTCTGACTGCTTAGCTGGCACTATTCTAGGTTCTTTTCAGAAGTGAAGTTCCTGCTTTCATAGTGCTTACATTGTGGTTAACTGTTAATGGATTTTATCTCTTACAAGGACCTTAGATCCTTTATTCTGGTCTCTACTTCCCATTTTACATGCCTTTGTTTAACTCAACATTGGGTTGACTTTTTATCCTTACAGCTAAAGCAACTCATATCCCAGTAGCTTTATCTTATTCAACTAAATAACAGAGTTTAGCTTTTTTCTCCCTTGAACCAGTTTTAAAGTTTTCCATTTCATTCAAGTGTTATATAATGTTTCTTTCTCATGTTGGATGAGAAGTAAACAGAGAATGGTTTATGAAGAAAGCATTTATCTGCCATTATAAAATACTTCTAGCAAAATTGAAATGTTTGGCAGACCAGTCAACAGATGCCTTCAATACAGTATTTGAATTTTGTGACTGATGCTAACAGACATACTAAAGAAGCTAACATATGAATACTGTTAAAGCTATAGTTTGGTGCATAAAAAGTGTGTACATCTAAATTGAAACCCCTTTAGTTTTTCTCTTTAAAATTGGCTATACCATCTCCTGGAGTTTGTTTTTATTAAATTACTCTTGCTAATACTATGAACAGTCTTTAGAATGAACTTTAGTCCTTTAAAATAGTTTAATTTTAAAACTGAGAGCAGAGTTGGCTATAATTGGTGATCTACCTGAACAAATAATTTCTTTCCTTAGTTCTCGCTTCTAAGTTGTAGTGAGATATATAAACTAAGATAATTATTTTAAACTCTTTTCCCCTAGACATATTGTGATTGTATGTTAGATAATGTGGGGATCAAAGACAAAAATGCTCCAGTTTGGAAGTATGTCCCTTCTTGCCAGAGTCTATGGAAATGTGGCAGGTATAATATTAATTTCTCAGGTTCGAGGGTTCCTTGGCAAAGTGTTTTGTTTTAGAGGCTGGGAATCTGATAAGAAAGTTTTTCCCACTCTTCCTTTATTATTGAGTCGTGTGAAAAATCATCAAAAAAAAAAGATATGGAAGCTTTATGGGCTTCAAAAAATTAATTACTAATGTGCTAGGAAATTACCCAGAGTACTTTTTTTGTATTACTTTTTTATTACAATATTTTTTATTAGGGTATTGTTTATATACACTCTTATGAAGGTTTCACATGAAAAACAATATGGTTACTACATTCACCCAAATTATCGAGTCACCCTCATACCCCATTGCAGTCACTGCCCGTCAGTGTAGTAAGATGCCCCAGAGTCACTACTTGTCTTCTCTGTGCTACACTCTTTCCCGTAATTATGATAACCAATATAAAAGTTTTCTCATTAACTATCCATCCACTCCCACTACAAAGGCTCAGAAATATTATATGTAGAAGAGACTTTTCATTTTACTATTTAGGGGCAATGTTTGGCCTCATTTTCAGTTATTGATTGAGAAATTCTTTCAAAAACAATCAGATACAATGTTGATAGTGTTCTTACCTTGTCCCAACCTTATTACCTACATAGAGAAACCTGTGAAGATTGCAGCTACCCAGTATATATTACGTGCAAAGTATTATATTTTGCTTTATAGGAAAGTGTGATCTCATAGCCTCATGTTTCACAATTTGAGAGGCACCCACAAGATCATGAGTAGAACACACATTCTCTACCTCACCTTTCATTGTTAAAACTTTTTCAGTTTACTGATCTACTAGGCTTTTATTCAGTAACTTGTGAATTAGCATTCAGTCCAGCAGATAGAAGGAACTCTGAAAAGTTGTATAAGGTGAGAGGTTCTTACAGACCAGAGTGAGCAGGACCAATGAAGTAACGCTGGGGATTTGCTGACTGGTTAAAGCAGAGTTACTTTCCGTATACTGAGCAAAGAGAAGTCTGTGTAACTTGTACTAAGCAGGAAGCACTAATTGGTTGACTTAAGTCTGCCTTTTCTGGGAAAGCTAAGCATAAAAACTTAAGTTTTAGCTTGCTGACATGGGCTTGGCGTAAATGATTCCATTTTGGGCCTAATCTGGTTACTCTAACACAGCAAAAGTTACACTGAATGACAAGGCATACAAAACAAATTAACATTGTACCTGGAAATTTGGACCAGATAATTTGAGGAATGCATAGATGTTGACAATAGATGAAATTGAACTGGTAGGTAACTAATAGCAGGAAAATCATAGCCCAAACATGCTAAAAAGAGGAAGCTATGGCAATGATAAGCCTATTTGATCCCAGGGAAATTACAAACTAAGATTCAATAAATAAAAAAAATGTGTGGGGTCCCTGGTCAGTGATAAGGATTAAATGTAGAAGAGATGGACAGTTGGAACCAGTTCTATCTCCTGTACATCCCAAGAGATTATCAGTGAGGGTGTTTATCCCTAGAATAAAGCCCTGAGAAATATTTCACAAAGTGAGACATTTATTGAGAACTCCGGCCTTGACTATGTCTTCACTCTAGATCTCTGGTTGGGCTACTACTTCTGTGACAGATGGGATAATAAATGTCTCAGCCTTTCTGGGCCATATACTCTCTTTCACTACTCATCTCTGCTGTTTTAATAGGAAAGAAGTCACAGGCAATTATTACATGAATGGGTATGACTGGGTCACAATAAAACATTATTTATAAAATAGGTTATATGCCAGATTTGGCTCAGGACCTATAGTTTGCCCACCTTGTTCTAGAAAAGGAAGCAGAACAGATTCTGAAGTACCTCAACATCTCCACAATCACAGAGGGACGTAAGAGAAAAAGGGATTTGTTACCCATATTGGCCATATGAATCCAATCTGACCCATTAATCCAAGATTTGGTTCTCTGAACAGACTAATAACACTGATAAACTTTTGCAGTTCTGAGAACACAAAAACAGCAAAGGGATAAGGAAAGGAAACATCACTATGAGAGAAAGATTTTTAAAGACTCTAAACATTATATGTGATTGTATGCTAAAAATTAAGTTGAAAATTTAAATTAATTGGAAGGTTTTCTATGAGCACTCTTTTTGAAAATGATTCAAAATG